AGGAATGCTGGAGGAGGCGCCTGGTTCACGGTCAGCCTCTTGCTGCGTGCTGGGAGGGCACGCGGGAGCCCAGTTCAACTCCAAAAAAAATCCCCAATTCCACAGCAGGAAGGGAAGGGCCAGACCCACCCCAACTCCAGGGATGGTCTCCAAACCCCCAGAGGTCATCCTGGTGGGACCACAGCCATGTCCCATTCAGCCAAGGCACCTCCAGCTTAGGATAAGCCCCCCCCAAAGCTCCCCCGAATATCCCCCAACCTTTCCAGCTTGGCCCATCAGCTTCTTTAAATCTCATTGAGGGCTCTGCCCGGCACCCCTGCGATCCGGTGAGCCACGTCGGCCCGGGAGCCGAGCGCTCGTTCGAGCCACTGCCTTCGGCTCACGCCTTTTATGACTTCAGGCCAGAGTGTCAAGTGGATTTTTTTAGCCTTAACTCTGAATTTCATGGCTTTTGTGACTTTAAATCAGTCCCCTAATGCTATTTAAACAGTGGGCTTTCTGGAGCCGATAAACGCTTCAGAAGGTGTTTGGGAGAGACAGGGGCTTTCGCCGCAGAGCCCAGGGCACTCTCCTGCCTGCTTGGATGCTCCAGGACCTCCCTGCCCTCCGCAGGGATGGGGAAGGGCACCTGGGAAGGGCACAGGGGCTCTGCATAACCCCACGGTGCCCAACAGAGAGACACAACAGGTTTGCTGCAGCTCCATCAGGGATTCAATCCCACTTGCGTGCGCAGCCAGAGCTGGCCTGGCTCTTAGCAGTCCCCACCGCAAGCCGAAGCGCTTGGCCATCCATCCTGCAAGCCGGGAGCGAGGCCGAGCCAGGCTCCCTCTAGGAAGTGGCAGATTTTCCCCTCCGATTACACACAGCTCCATCTGCTTCCCGTTAGCGGCCCCGGCTGAGGCTAATTGGCAGATCAAACCTTCCGATGTCCTGTGTTAGGGATGTTGTTAAGAGAGTCCGAGCAAGTACGATGCTTCTTGGATGGAGCCCAAACTCCTTCCCCCCCCCACCACCACCACCCTGGGCTGCGCAGGGCAAACCACCCGCAGCAGCCTGGGAGCCGGCAGCAAGACGCCCAGAGCCCTCGGCGAGAGGGCCAAGCCGCGGCTTTAAAGCAAAGCAAAGCAAAAGCCAAGCAAACTGAGACAGCGTGGACCTGTTCATCTGTGGGGGATAAAATGGGAGAGGCAGAGGACGGGCAGCACGCGCTGCCGTAAGGAGACCAGCACAGCCACAGCCACCTTCCTTTTTTTTAGCACCCAGCAGGGATGCTTCTGGCTTTCTGTGCAATTTAAAAACTCCCCAGATTGAACAGGAGAGGCAGTGACCACGATGATGCAATTGCTGCCCTGATGTTAGCTTCACTGATTCTGCTTTTTTTAAAAAAAAAAATAAAAGGAAAGGTTTAACTCGCTAAGAGTAATATTTGTGATTCCCCACTCTTAACGCACACATTGGGAATGGCTGCAACTCAGGAACGGGCACAGGGCTGGAAAACGCCGGCACCAAGGACAAAGGGATAACCCATTGCCTCACCACACGCCCAGCACGTGAGCGCAGAAACGAAACCACAGAGGAGTTGCTCGATTGCATTTGGCTTAACGGGGGTTAGCGGGGAGCCCTTCACCTCCCCGCGAGGAGTCAATAAACAGGGTTTGGACGCGTGCGCTGGGCAGCAGACTGCGGCCAGGGGAAACGCCACGCTGAACAGACTTTGCTGAGGGCATTCTCTGTTGTATCGGGGTCCCTGCAAAGCCCCGGAGAGTGGGGGGACGTGCTCTGAATCGGGGTGCAGCTTCATAGCACAGGTGCCTGGAAGGGGCTGGAGCGCGGGTCACCTTCCTGCTTTGCAAACTCCCACCACCACTTCCCAGCTGCCAGGTGCCCAGCCCCCTGGGAAACCACGGGAGCCAGCTTCAGCAACAGCTCGCCCATGGAGGGCGAGGAGGGCGAATCTCCGCTCTTGCCTTACGGGAGCCGACCTCCGCAAGCAGCACCCACCTGAGGGCAGATCCCGCAGCCCCAAGCCGCATCCTGCTCCGGAGGGGCACAGCCCCAGACCACCGCATGCCTTTGGTCTCCCCTTTCCCATCCCAGGATTTTTGGGCTCCCTTGGCGGCGCTGCCTGACCGGTGACTGCAGCACCTGCCTGTGGGTGAGGCCCAGGGCCCCTTCCCCAGCTGGAGCCTATTTATGGGCTGCAGCCCAGCCTCTGCCCCTCTTTCCAGTGAGATGGTTTTGGGGGGACCTTTGAGGGGTCCCTCCTTTCCCAGCCTGCCTGATATCATCCAAGAAATCCTATATACGGTGTCCTAGGGGCAGGCTTCCTGCCCAGCCAGTGGCTTAGGCTGGAGAACAAGTGCTAAATGCAATCCAAGAGGCTGCTTTTACCGTTTCCTGGTGCCAAGGGGGTGGTGGGTGAGTGTTTCTGGCTGGGGGGAGGGAGGAAGGGGCTGGTTCACCTTGCTCCCCGAGGAGAGGCCAGAAGAAACTCACTACATGGATGCTAGGGGGGGTGAAGGACCACGTAGGATGCAGGGAAGGGCTGTGGTTGCAGGATAAAGGAAATATCTTATGTTTAAAGATGGGCCCAAGCCAAACCCCAGCTTTACAAATCCCCTTAAGCTCAACTTGTGGGAAAACTCGCTGAGGCTGAAAACTTTTTGGACACCCCCTGCCCCCCTCTCCAAAATGTCCTCTCTCCTCTCCCCGTGCAGGGCTTTGAGGTCCTGGGGCAGCAACAGCCTGGCATCGCCTACTCCACCTCCATGGACTGGTTTTGGGGCAGAGCCCAGGTCTTTCTATTTTTCGATCTCTTGAAGAAGGATGAGGAGGTGAAAAGAGACACAGGGTGGGGGGAATGGATGGCAAGAGGGAGGAAAAAAAACCCCACTGTGCAAGGGACAGCCAGAAACCCCGAGCATCCTGAGGCTTTCTAGGGGGATGGAGACCCCTGTGGCCTGGTTTTTCCTCTCTTTCTGCCTCATATTATTTCTCCCTGCCTGAGGCTTCGCCCCCCCCGCCTCTTCGATGCTTTGGGAGAGCAGAGAAATCCTTGGGGGTGCGGGGAGATGTTTGCAGTACAAGGACTTAGCAG